TTGCTTGAGGAGTGCGCTCGGCCTCGTGTCGGCGCACGCTGCACCAGTCTGCGATCGCATCAGAGCGCGCTTGATTCAGGGTGCGCCCCTCGCAATCGATCGCAACGCATGCACGGTGTATTCTGCCGCGCGCTTCGTTTGGCGAGGGGGGGCCCAGTCGAGCGGGCGATGTGGTGCTCTCCACTTTGGGACAGGTCCCACATCGTCCTGCAATAACTTGGACTAACTTCGACTAATTTTGAATAACTTTGAATAACTTTTTGCATTCCGCGCTTTACAACTCAATTCTTTACTATTGAAAGTTCTTTGCGGCCGCGGGGGGGCAAAGTTTCGGCCCGGTTTCAGCCTGGACGCCGGACCCAGTCAGACGTCATCGCGATGCGGCCCGGCAGTGCCAGAACATTCCGCGGTGGCGCCCGATTACGTCTGGCTTCGCAGAGCGCTCGGGCGGGTGTATTGGGGCGCCCAGAACGAATGCGCGGAAATCCGCAATTGCCTGCAGGCGCTAGGGATCTCTCGAAGCGCGCCCCGCCGATCGTAGATGCAATCTGACGGCCTCGGCTTGCGCTGTTGCTCCAGGCCCCCACGGGCGCCCCTAAGGCCGCGCACCAAAGGGCACTCTGGCCTAGGGTCACTCTTACGTGTCGCCGATAGTATGTCGTGGCAAGCCGATCCAGTAGAACCCGTTGCCGTATCCTCGTCGTGGTGTAGACCATCGGAAGCCAGGATTTGTTCGCCGCCCTCATGGTGACTTCCGTCGTGGGCCACCCCAGTCTGTGCGTGAGGCCGTCGGTCGGGTCCCGCACGCCGTGGCGAAGGTTGTCATTTGCACGATACTTCCAGTAATGTTGTTCAAGCGTTGGTGCATGTTGCCTGCCACAATTTTTGCAGGTAGTTGATACGTCTTCTCCTTTTGTGGGACTGCATAAGCGCATCTGACACCATGCGTCCACACAGGGCAGCCGTCATGTGAGAAACCAGGTCGTGGGTGCTGCGTAGAGCATCTGGAGCGACGCGCAGGGCGACCGCTGGTAGTGGGACTCTGGTCGCCAGGGGACTCCCGGCGAGTGTTTTTTTTGGGAATCGATCATTCGGTAGACCGCAGGAGTCGGCGTAGCTCGTGTAATTGCTTGCCTGTCCCGTCCGTCAGGCGGACGGTCCCTTCAAGTCCTTCACATTCCTTAGTGTCGTGCCGATGAGAACCACTGGTGGCCAAATGGGCTCTGCATGCGTAGATCGGTTGTTTCGCTTGCGCCCGTGTTACGGCGCGCTCCCAAAAGTCGAGGGTGTGTCGTCCCTGGCGGCGGAATCGGTATCGGAGCAGCTGTAGCGAGCGCTGGCAGAGGCGGTGGCGCACGTCCGCCTGGCGCCCCAGTAGACGCGTCCGGAGTAGTTCTAAGGATGCACCCTTCCATCGTCTGAGAGTAGTTTGTGCTCTTTCCCCGTTTGCTCTGTGTGCCGGCCGCCGCCCGCCGATGCCGCCCCGCAGCCGTTCAAGGACCAAACAGCGACGCGCGTGTTGCGCGCGTTATGGGCAAAAGACAGTCAGGGAACAGAGCGGTGTAGTCTTTCTTTCTCGCCTCTACACCTTAAGCTTGTATGTCCACGTTAAAGCTTGCCGGGTCCATCATGAGCCATGAGACTCAGAGCAGACCAATATCGATCAAACCCACGTTTGCTGGGAGTACTGGTTGTCTGGCGAATGATTGGTTATCAGCCGAAAGCGTTATAAGTTGGCGACGGCGGGCGGTTTTGATAGCGCGATGGTTCATGTGGAAGATGTTCGCGCTCATGCCGCAGAACCTGTCGTGGATGAGTTACTTGGCATTCCCCCTGGCGTGCAAGGTGTTTTCGTTACTTGACGACCCCAGTTTTCCAACTGTGGATGGGGGTCGAAGTCCGCGCAGCCGAAGCAGACCATGGAAGAAGCAGTGCGGGGGGAACTCCTGGGCCGAGGTGCCACGAGACACCTGAAGATGATTCAATGGGTAAGACTGCCCCAGCAGAGGCCCCTCAAGTGACCGATATTCCGATTGCGGGTTTACGACCTCCTGTTGAGAGTCAGAGCCGCGAGCCATTACCGATCCCATGTTTACCCCGCCGCAATAGTGGAAGGGGAGGGGGCCCCCATCAAGGTCGCCCTTGGCATCCAGACTGCGTCCCAGTTCTAGGGGCAGCTTGGGATCCCGCGGAGCATCTCTAACGGGCGTTTCAGTTCAGGGTGGGTGCTGGGCCAACGGGTCAGGGTGCGATCCCACGGCTGAGAACAAATGTCCAGGGAAGGCGCGCAGGCCAGAGGGGTCGTGCCAGAGGCCCGCGTTTGCAGGGTGCTCGCGCGCTTGTCAAGATTGCCAATGATTGCAACCTCAACTGGCTGTGCTCTGAATGCCTGGACGTGAAAGAACACAGTTGCCATCGCCTTGCATTCTTGGATTGGTAGCAGGCAGAAGCAGAGCAGAGGCTATTGCGCGAAGAGCTAATTGCAAAGGGTGAGCAGAGTCGTGAGATATACAATGAAGAGGAGTCTTTTCAGCCAGTGGCCCGACAGGCGCAGCTGAATCAAACCGTCGCTCCGGCAGCATCCCATCGGGCTTTGTCAGGGGCCTGGCACGTCAAGAACGAGTTGGGGAAACTAACCGCGCTGAAGCTCCGGGAAACGAGGAATCGAGAGAGAGAGGCAAATGGTCGCGAGAGAAGCACGAATGCAGCAGATGGTGCATTCTGCCGAAGCAGAGGAAAGAGATTCTCATAGGTCGGCTCGGCTGAAAACGCGTCGCAGGAAAAAAGAGACACTGGCCGCTGCCATGATGCAGTGCGCGAGGGAAGAAGCCATATTGATAATGCATCATATGGGCGTTCGAGAACAGCAGACCGTCAATCGCGCAGATCAGGTGGAGACAGAGTTGCAGTTGGTCAGTGAAGACCTCGCGCGCCAGAGGGAAGCGCGCGACGATCTGCTAATGCTTCGCGAATGCCGCGGCGCAGTCCAGCTTGGCGACCAGAACGCACCAGTGGTATTTCAAACCAGACACGCAGTGAGAAGCGATCCTCTAGTGGCCCCGGCTGCCATGGCGGCGCAAAAGGCTGCGTCTTCCACGGGGGTGCTCCTGAGACAAGACCACATTTGCGTGTCGCAGTGGCTTCGGGCAACCGAATGAAATGTCATGTTGGTAGTGGTCCCAAGGTGTCAGAATGTATGCAATGTCCGACGCCGTGCATCAACGACCACTGAGGCCCCTTGACTTGGCGCCGCAGACACTGTGCCCAAAATAATGCGGAAGCTGAATCGGGCGCAAACAGGGTGCCAAGAGGTAGAACGAAGGCGCTCGCGACAAGGGGAAGGGCAAGCGCGCGTGGGGAATTTCATCATATAACAAAAGGAGATCTTAATACACATGCGTAGAGAGCGTGCTGCATGGGAGAAGGCCGATCGTGACGCAGCCGTCTGATTCTGTAGATTTGGATCGCAAACACTTAGGGCAGTCGGGAAAGCAATTGTTGACGCTTCGCGTATCCCCACCAGCCCATCCAGAAACGATGCCCAGGGGAGTTGAGGTGATCAGGGAAGTCGGGGAGCATGCAGAATAACAAAGGGCGGGGGAAGTTGTCACGTGCCCCAAAAGGCGGAGGATGGAGAAGGAATCCTCGTCGGAGGGGGGGGGGGGGGGGGGGAGGAAAAGGAGGAGGAGGAGGAGGAGAATGAGGAGGAGGATGTGGAGTAGGGAGAGGACGAGGAGGACGAGAAGGAGGAGAAGGAGCAGAGGGAGGAGACGGAGGAGAAGGAGGAAAAGGATGAGGAGGAAGAGGGGGATGAGAAATTGAAGAGGACGCCGAACCGAAGAGCCAGAAACGTCTTAAATGCATTTCGGGGATCCCCTTGAGGCTTCTTGGGGGTCTCTTGGGAGCCTCTTGGAGGCCTCTTGGGCGCCTTTTGGGGCCGCCTGGGCGCCTCTTGGGGCGCTCTTGGGGGCTGTAGGGGCGCTCTTGGGGCCATCTAGGAGGAGATCCATCAACGAAGGGGGGGGGGGGGGTCCCTAATTAGCCTCCCCCCTCAGGAGCTCCAGACATCGCCTCTTGGGGCGCTCTTGAGGCGCTCTTGGAGCTCTCTTGGGCGCTCTTGGGGCCGTCTTGGGGCTCTCTTGGGCCTTTTGCGGGGCCCTCTTGGGCCATCTTGGAACCATCTTGAGGCCTTGGGTGGCCATCGGAAGCGAAACGGGGAGAAAGCACAACACACTGATGTTCATCAGGTTTTTGGCCGATTTTGGCCTCTTCGGGGCCTCCTTGGGGAGCTCCTTGGCCACTTGGAGCCGTCTTGGGGCCGTCTTGGGCCTCTTGGAACCATCTTAGGAGCCATCTCGAGCGATCTTGCGCTATCTTGAGCCATCTTGGAGCTCATCTTGGGCTCTCTGACGCGCTCTTGAAACCATCTTGGGGCCAAAAGAGCCGTCCGACCGCTCGGGGGACCCTCCGTCCACGTCCAGGGGAGGGGGTAGGGGGAGGGGTAACCCCCCCCCAGGGGGAAAAGGGAGGGGTGGAAGAGGATCAGTTCTAGACCACCTACGCCCAGAGGGCTGGTGGGATTTAGCGAGAGCCCGACGTTCTCCAAATTCATTCAACCGCCCGAAGAATACGCGGTCAAATTGCCCAGTGCATCTGAAGCCCACTCCGCTCCACCAGATTTTTCGGACGGCTCAGCTGGAGGAGGCGGCGGCGGGAGTGGGTCTCCCGGCGGGGGCCTCGATGGTGGAGGAAGCGGCTGTGAAGATTTCCGTGGGCCTATAACGTATCTTTTGGAGCTCTGGAAGCAGATGGGCAAATCGTAGGCGACAGACTTGATGCGATTTCCTGATGCGACTACCCTGCGCGAGTGGAATTTGCGCGCTACCAGGGTGGCATCATCAGCTTCGTCCGATGCGCCAGGTACTGCGCCGTGGATTGCGCGGGTCCTGGATCTTGAAGCATGTGCGGAAGCTTCTCAGAACTCTGGCATATATGAACGCATTGACGTGTTTGTTGCTTCTGACCTCGCGGATTTTTTTTCTAACCCGAGGCAGAAGAAGGACTCGCCTCCTCGCCGGGCCCATCTCGTGGCACGGGGGTTTGAATGGAAGTTGTAGCGCGCGACGAATATCGTTCGCTTACTGGCCGTGAAATGATGCGCTTGATAGATCGATGGCTCTTTATATGCATGCTGGCCATGGCAGGAACGTGGCGGTGGGGATCTTTTCGTGGGCGTGATCTTTGCAATGAGTGGATGGCTTTATGCAGCGATTTGCATCGCAGCTCTGACCCGCCCCCGGAAATCGCGGCAGCTGTTCGTGCGCACTTCCATGAACAGATGAAGTTGGTTCCGAAGATACAATGACGTGCGAGTGGCTAGTTTGGCAGTCGCAGAAGATCACGAAAAAGGAGAGAAACCAATGCAACCTTGACTTTCGGAAGGCAAATTTAATGAGAGGGGCGATCCCCGCGCCCGCCGCCCCAGGTCCACTTGGTCCGAAGAGTTGGGGGGGGCCACAGACAAAACGAACAACGGGCGACTGAACGAAGACGCCCTATGTAAATGCAACGAACATGATCTTTTTTGCCCACGCAAAAAGCAGGGAACCTGCAGCGGCCCGCGCAGCGCCACCTGTTGTGGAGATGCACAATAAAGGCACATGCCAGGGCAAACATGGATAGGCAATCTACCTCGGGGCCCAAGGATGACAGGGGTTTGTCCAAGGGTCCTACTCAGGAGCGGCAGGAGAAAGTGGTTTGTTTTGTTCTCTCGAGACGCATTTGTCGTGGCCAACAAAGTGATCCTACCTGTTACAGGCCGCGAAGGAAACTGACCCCTGAGGAAGTGCTGAAACGTGACGAGCTGATATACGAGCGTACAACACAAAAGCAGGCTGAACCTGCAGCAGCTTGCGCGGCCATGACATATTCCGCTGCTGGCTCCGACGCCGGCAGTGAGAAGGGTGGCCAGAACAGCGCCAGCAGCAAGGGGAGTGGCCAAGGCAAAAGAAAGGCACTTTGTTGGAACTGGACAGATAAGGGTGGATGTTCCTCCGGTGCCAAGTGTCGATTCTGCCTCCTGGACACCCGTGACATCGGTACCCGTGGGCTTGTGGCTCCGCTCTTGCTCACCGGGAAACGCTGATCACGCGTGCTTCAATGCCATGATTCTGAACATGATTACGTTTTCTTGTATGCTTTCTGCCTTCATGCGCACTCAGCGATGCAGACGGAGTAACTCGTCGCAGTTGCCGTTGCAGGGCACACGCGCGCTGGTGACTGGACGTTTCCGTGCTACCTCTGCACCAGGGGCGTCGCCGCACTTCGCACTGCGGCGCGTCGTCCTGGCGAAGCGGCGCGCCGAGATGCACGCGAGGATCGCACCCGCTGTTCTGGCGACCGCGTGACGGCATTCGCCGTAGAGACAGCTGGCCGCCTGGGCGGCGAGGCGCGCCTTCGGCTGATCAGCCAGGTCCAGAATTCCTGGAGGACCAGCAGCCAGCGGGGTTGTCGCGGGCATCCTGCGTGCTCAGATGCGCCCTTCGTTTCGACGCGGCTCAGCAGGCCCAGCGCGCTGCTGGAGTGCGTTGAGCACGCCTTTTTGCTGATCCTGCTGCTGCTGCTCCTCCTGTTCCCTCCCCCCCTCAATGATTCTATTGGCAGGCGCGCTGCTGCGGCCCCCCCTTCCCGTTCCCGCTCCTGCCCTCTCCTCCTATTCCCTCTGCCGCTCCCCTCCTTGCCTCTGCCAGGTGCTTGAATTCCGCAAATCCCCCCAAAAACGTGTGCGGTGCCCCCCCTGGCCGTACGCCTGTCTCTTCCGTCTGTTTGTCTTCCTCAAGGGGACGCAGTCTACGCGGAAGCAACACGAACACAGCTACCAGGAGCAGCACTTTCGCAAAACATGATTCTAGGATATTCTGAAGGCGTGGGTTGCTTTAATCAAGTGGAGCACGTGGGTGGCACAGAGTTGCATCACATCCTTGTTCTGGTTGATGATTGGATCCCACTTCGACGGCCGAGACAATGGCGATGGTTCGCAAGAGGTGGGATTTAATTTTGGACCCGTCCCAACACACAGGGCTAGGGGCGAGGAGGCACCCGTGCCGACCAACGCGTCGTTGGATTGACGACACTTTCCAGTTCCCGACTCAGACGCAAACAGTGTGTCCGCACGCTTTCAGTTTTTTTGTTTTTGTTGTGTGTGTGTGTGGGGGTGTGCGTGTGTGTCTGCGCGTGTGTGTGTGTGTGTGTGTGTCTGTCTGTCTGTCTGTCTGTCTGTCTGTCTGTCTGTCTGTCTGTGTGTGTGTGTGTGTGTGTGTGTGCGTGTGTGCGTGTGTGTGTGTGCGTGTGTGCGTGGGTGTGTGTGTGTGCGTGTGTGTGTGTGTGTGTGTGTGTGTGTGTGTGTTTGTGTTTGTGCGCATGTCTGCCTGTGTGTGCGTGTGTGTGTGTGTGTGTGTGTGTGTGTGTGTGTGTGTGTGTGTGTGCGTGCGCGTGTGTGTGTGTGTGTGTGTGTGTTCTGCGCACGCGCGTGTGTCGTGCGTGCGTGCGTGCGTGCGTGCGTGCGTGCGTGCGTGACCCGGTCGGAAGTGAGACATGAGATGCCGCCCATTTGTTCGCGTGATGTGCGTGATGCTTGGAATAGCGGAACTACGTTTTTGCCGCGGCGGGCGCTTCGGCCCCAATCCGCGGCATTTACGCGGTGCGCAGTACATGTCGCAGTCGCGGTCGCAGTCTGGTCTCCCCCCGCTTCCCCGACAGCAAAATAGCAGCGCCTTTTAGTAAAGGCTGAGGAGGGGCAGACCGTTGGTGCATGGGTCGCTCCTCGCCCACATGTGTTTTGGGGCTTGTTTGAGGACGTGGGCCAAGATACAGAGGTCCACAGCCCCCCCGATGTGTCTGGGTGGGGGCCCGAGGAGGGGCGAAGAGGAGGAGGAGGAGGGATGGAGGAGGGGGAGCGGGAGGACGATGGATGGAAGAAGCGGAGGACGTCCCCGCGAGGCCAACATGCATTCGTGGCACTCCACGCTGCACGGCCGGGACGATCCCAACGGTGTTGGTGGCGGTTTCGGAGGCGGCGGAGAGGAACCTTCGGCCCCTCCACTTCTCGGCCTCTCGAGAGGGGAGGGGTAAAAGAGAGAAAGAGAAAAAGAGATGCAGAGAAAGAGAGAGAGAGAGAGAGAGTGAGAATGAGAGTGCACGTTCGAGTGGGAGTCAACTTAGCCAGGTCGATCGAGTCAGAGGGCTCCGCCTATTCCCACGCTCCCTTCCACAACATTCGATTCATTTGTAGCACAACCTGGTTTTGTGATTGGAACGCGTTCCCACCTCGCAAACGGAAGGCGCTCGCGCACGGTTCCGTGTCCGACGACTTGGCGAAGGGAAAACTACGCGGACCGCGCAGTGGCGGGAGCGGTAAAGCGTCCGATGGGCAGTTCGGACACGAAGCATGCGCCGCATTGCCAGTATCACTGACAACTTGTGCCGCACATGGGCGAGGTCGGCATTTCGCGGGCTCTCGCGCGCCCCGTTGCCGTTGTCGCTTTTACACGATTCGGCGAACGAACGCGCGCCGCGCCCGCATGGGACACCGCTTCCGAGCCAAGTGCGCACGGAGGGCAAGGGCGACAAGTCGTCCATTCGCGCGGGCCCCCCAGAAATCGGCGACTGACAAATATGCGCCGTGTCGAGGCGGGAACGCCACTTTTAGGTGAACCTGCGTGGCGCCGAGTCGAGAGCTACATTCTCGCTCGCCCGCGAGTCGTCAAAGTTACGTGCGAAAGATGTGCGCCACGCCACAGCGGGAGCTCGATTCTTTAGAAAAGTGAGCGCGGCGCTGAGGCGACAGCGATGTTTCGGCCTTTCGCTCGGGATGTGCGCCCCGTCTCATTCCCGCCACGCATTTTGCAGCATGGACGTTCTGATGTGCATGTCGAGACGAAACTGGGTCCTCATCGGCCGGCGGGGTTTGGAGCGTAGGAGTATATACCAATGACAGTTGTGGATGTGAGAGGGCGAGTAGAGAGAGAGAGAGAGAGAGAGGGAGAGTAGTCACTTAAACACGTAGAGAAAGTGATCGAGAGAGAGGGAGAGAGAGAGAGAGAGAGAGAGAAAGAGAAGTGGCTCAAGGCGCCACGGCCCGCCCGCGGCCGCCCATCCGGCGACCCCCTCTCGGGCAGGGCGGCTGCGCGCGTGGCGCGCTGCCGCTCCGCGCGGGGGGCGGCGGCGATGGCACCGCGGCGGGCCGCCCGGAGCTCCTCGAGGGCGCTCGCCGCGGCCTGGCGGCGGCAGGCGCGGCGCTGCTGCGGGCGTGCGCCTTCGTGTCTGGGTCGGCCCGCGCCCGCCGAGCGGCAGACGCGCCTGCCAACGGCGACCAGACCATCTACCTCGGCTCGGACGACGCCGTGCGAAACTTTAGCGCCCCTGGCGACCTCCTGTGGAGCTACGCCCCCCGAGGCCAGCTCGCTGCCGCGCCCACCCTGTTGGGGGCCACCGCCGGTGACTCGGACCCGGAGGGCGCGACGTTCTCCAGGGACGGGGACCCGCACGACCTTTTCAAGGACATGTTCCCTGGAGGCGACCCCTGGGCCGACTTCGCGGACTTCTTCTCCGACGCCGCCGCCGGCGGCGCGAGCGAGGAGGATGCCGCGGAGCAGGAGATGGCGATCAAGGAGCTCGACGAAGTCCTGGTCCAGTTGTACCGGGACGTGGGCCAGCCCTAGAAGGACGTGCAGGAGGGGGAGGAGGACTTCCTGTGGGCGATCGATTTCCTGTGGGGCGACCCTAAGGTCGCCAACGCCTACGGGCCCTCGGGCCGCGTGCCGACGGTCTACACCTTCGGGCCGGACATCGCCCAGAAATTCTGCGAGGCGAATGGGCTGAAGCTGACCCTGCGCTCCCACGAGACCAAGTCGGCGGGCTTCCAGGAAACGCAGCCGTTCTGCCACACCGTCTTCAGCGCCCCCAACTACATCGACAAGGCTGGCAACAAGGCCGCCGTTGCAGTGGTGACCAACACCGGCGGGGTGCTGAAGCCAGACTACAAGCAGATCGATCACCAGCCGCACCTGGACGTGCCCAGCGGCGCCTACGCGCCGAACGGGCCCCTGGCGCCGAAGCACCTCACAACCGGGCCCCCCTCCGGTGCGGCCGACGCCGGTCCTGAGCTGGCCTCGCTAACGCTTTACATAATTCACGTTAGGCCAGGCCGATCCCGTATGCTTCCTCACCTCCCCGTTTGGTCCAGCCCTCGCCTCAGCCTCCCCTTGACTATCGGCTCAGCCTGCTCCGCTAATGATTCCTCAATTGATTCTGCACGCACATCCACGGTTAATGTACGCAGACTAGTTTATGTTTCTTTAGTCCGTCGAGTCCCTCTTGAATTAGGGGCGGCCGGCCCTCCCTCTCCCAGCTTCTCCCGCACTCTCCCCTCCTTCTGTTCCGCCCCCGACCCCCGCCGACGACAGCCGACCACGACCTCGACGATCAGCCGCTCGCCTGCCGTGAGGTCCACCGCGAGCTCGACGAACAGATCCCGCATGAGCGGCCCGACGGGGAGTAAAAGCCAGACGCCAAATTTCAGCACGGAGACCAGCAGCACGGCAGCAGCGGGACGAGCACCGAGTCCCCGACCAGCACGCCGAAGACCAGCAGCCAGACTTTGAGCGGCAGCGCGGGGACCAGATGTACGACGCCGACAACCTACATTGGCAAGACTGGGGCGCCGCGCCGCGTCACGAGCACCACGCCACTGACCAGCACGACGGGGACCGACAGCCAGACGCGGAGCTGCAGCGCGGAGACCACCAGCACGACTCCGACATCCAACGTTGGCACGAGCAGTGCGGCGAGCCGTGGGACGAGCACCACGTCACCGACCAGCACGCCGGAGACCAGCAGACGGGCACGGAGCGGCAGCACGGGGACCAGCAACCCGAATCCGACAGCCGCTCTAGGCACGAGCAGTGCGGCGCGCACCACGTCAACGACCAGCACGATGGAGACCAGCAGCCGGACGCGGAACAGTACCACGGAAGCCAGCGTCACGCTTCCGAGACTAATCCATGGCACGAGCAGTGGAACGAGGAAGGTGACGAGCACCCCACCATCGAGCAGCACGACGGAAAGTAGCAGCCGCACGCTGAGTTGCAGCACGCATACCCGCGGCTGCACGACTCCGATACCCGCGGCTGCCACGAGCAGTGGCATGAGCACTCATGAGCACCACATCGTTGACCAGACCCTCGGAGACCAACAGCCCGATTTCGAGCAGCAGCTGGGAGACCAACATCACGACGTCGACATCCACCAGCTGCGCGAGCAGTGGGGCGAACAGTATGGTGTGCAGCACGTCATGGGCCAGAGCGACGGAAAGCAGCATCCAGACGTTGAATGGCAGCACGGAAATCAGCAGCACGACTCCGACATCCGCAATTGGCACGACCAGTACGCGAAGCCGTGGGACGAACACCACGTCGCGGATCTGCACGACCGAGCCCAGCAGAGGGATGCTGGGCAGCAGCGCGGAGGCCAGCATCACGACCCCGACGCTGGGGAGCACAGTGACAGGGAGCAGCAGCACGAGGGGAACCAGCAGCCGCAGCAGCCGCAGCAGCCCCCCGCCCGTCCCTAGCGCTGGGCCGCTGCAGTGCGCCGGTGGGGGCTCAATCACCCCTGCCATCCTCCATGACCTCCGCTTCTGCCTCTTCCCCCCCGCTCCTGCCCCTCCGCCGCCTCGTTCTCCTGGCCCCCCTGCCCTCTGCCTCTCCTCTTCCTGGCCACGGTCCTCCCCTCGCTGGCCTCCGCCCCTGTCCTCGCCCCTCCCTGTCCCCCCCTCCCAGACCTCCTGGTCCTGGGCGGGGAGACTGGTCTCATCTATTTTCGGTTTCCTGCAGGGTTCTTCCCGCGAGGACCCCGCCCCGGCGCTACCAGGAGCGTCGCGATGGAAAGCAGCTACCCGACTGACAGCACAATGTGGAGCAGCACGCCTTCAAGCACCACATCTGCGAGCACCACGCCCATGACCAGCGGTACCACGCCAGGGAACACGACGATGACGAGCACGCCGTCACCGAACAGCACGACGAGAACCAGCGGCACCACCATTTCGGCAACGAGCGAGACGAGCAGTGCAACAACCACAACGCTCTCGGCACCTCGTCGTGGACAAGCACAACAGCGCTTAGCCGCACGACGGAGCTCAGCACGTCAACGCCGCCAACCAACACTCTGACTCCCGCTCCGATCAGCTCGCCAGGGGGGACGTCGGGCCTCAAGTCATGCATCACAATGGGGGGCAACACTGCAGCAAACGTAGCCGTTCGACGTTGCCATCCACGAGTGCGACCAGCAGCACGGCAGTCTCCTTCTCTTCCTCGTTTTTTCCCGTCTCCTCCTCTTCTTCCGCCACCTCCACTTCTACCTCCACCAACTCCCCCTCCTACCCCTTCCGCTCCCCTGCCTACGTGTCACCGTCGTCGTGGTCCTCCGATTGCCCGTCCTCACCCCATCGGAGTAGGGAGCAGTGGTTCGACCATCACGGCGCCTTCGACGCCAGCACCCGGAGTGGCACGATAGAGAGCAGCGGCTCTACTTCGACTATCGCGAGTGGGACCAGCAACGCACCAGGGAGCAGTACGCCTGAAAGCAGCAGCTCAACGTTGACGGTCGCGGGTGGGACCAGCAACACACCAGGAAACAGCACGCTTGTGAGCAGCTGCTCTATGTCGACAATCGCGATTTGGAGCAGCGACGCACCGGAGAGCAGAACGACCGGATTGTCGATTTCACGGTCATTCACAAAAATGCGAGGTCATTGGAAACAAATGACCGGATTGACGAATTATTGTATGAGTTGCGTGGTTCGCGTTGGGATGCAGTTCTAATCAACGAAACCTGGAGGACGACGAAGCAAGAATTATGGGTTACTGCAGACGGACATACTTTTGGAGGATCTGGTAACGACAATCGTTCACATGAAGTCGCAATTCTCATGCATCAGCGCTGGAGCAAACACATTTCTAAATTTCAGGCCATCTCTGCAAGACTGGCGAAGCTCACAATCAAACATGTAAAAACCATATCACAAATGACAT